TGGGATTTGTATCCCTCTATAGCTGATGGTACATTGTGCTGTATATTATACATAGGAATACAAATCCCAGCAATAAATTATACACTGTATGTATAATGTACTACTACTGGGATTTGTTGTACTCCTCTATAGCTGGTGGTATTCTGCATTGCGCTGTATAGAGGACTACAAATCCCAGCAATAGTTGTTGTGGAAATTTTATTATATGGAATTATGTGGACATTTTTATATTAGGATGTGTGGGTTTTATAGATTTATAGATTTATAGATAGATAGGAGCGCTCTAGCAGAGCGTACTTGGGTTGAATCGGGACCAGCGGTAAAACCGTCAGTATTCAACCTTCTCATGGGCTTGGAGACCTGTTCGCAGTGTGTGTGGGCGTTTGCCGGTTTGTGAGCATTAAGTGCAATGCGCTGGGGTCCTTGCCTTCAAACGTCTATGCACCTTAGCGAAGCGAAGTCCGCATAACGAGAGATGTATCTCTGTTGAGGCTGCGCTATTCCTTTTGAATATATATCTGCTTTTACGAGAAGACATTGATATCTGCCTTGTCGGTGTACTTATACCGTACATTGATAACAGCATTAGCAATGTCTCAGCAGATAGTCTCAAACCTATAACAACAAATAGAATGATCTTACGAGATACTGGTCACTCTGAGCAGTATTGAATATGGTCCATGCTGGCCAAGATGGCGGATGTGCATACATGTGTCTGGTTGGGGCAGTGTAGATGAATCAGCACATCATAGTCCTTTGTTTAACACTAGTGAGTCATGTGCAGTGCTCTGCTCATGCACGTGGGTGCACTCCCCTTTTCTGTTGTCACTTCCTGTGATGTCATTGTGCATGGAGGAAATGGTAGGCTGTTGGGGCCACCCTTTCCTGTTATCCTTTTTGTTGCTATATAAATAAACGGAGCTAGTGGTCAGGGAGGATCTTGAACACGGAAACTCCAGCTTGAAACAACACCTTGTCTTGACTCTACCAAAACTACAAAAGAACCTTCATTCCTTGTACGAAAGAGCTTAATACACCGTGCTTTTAAGCGCGAGGGAATTGTTTGTGCTTGGCGCACTTTGATGCTGAAAGTACACCTTTTAGCGCGGCGTGGATTTGTGCGCTCAGCCCAAGCGAATTTCCATAACATAGTACATTATACAGCGCAATGCAGAATCCCGCCATCTATAATGTACTATTGCTGGGATTTGTTGTATTCCTCTATAGCTGGTGGTATTCTGCATTGCGCTGTATAATGTATTATTACTGGGATTTGTAGTCCTCTATAGCCGGTGCCATTCTGCATTGATTGCTGTAATATTTTACACTTTCCATTTCACTTATTGCACACCACACTTTTTTTTTTTTACTTCCACCGCTCCAAGCTTGCTCCCGTGATAGACTACAATCTCAATACAAACTAGTAGTCCATCACTGGAGCCATTTTTTAAAATCCCGATTAACCAGTTAATCAAACTCAATAATCGGCTAACTAATTGATTTTGAAAATAATCGTTAGCTGCAGCTCTAGATAAATGGTCACCCTACACCAGGGATCCCCCACTATCTACCAGGGAGCCTCTACTTGCCACCGCAGAGCCCCCCACTAACCACCAGGGAGCCCCCACTGGCCACAGTGGAGCCCCCACTACCCACCTTGGAGCTACCACAGAGCCACCACTAATTATTAGCGAGCCCCCACTGGCCACCACCGATCCTGCACTGACCAGCAGAGAGCCCCCACTTACCACCTGGCAGTCCGCATTGGCCACCTGAGAGCCTAATTAGGGAGCACCCACACGCACCCGTGAAACTCTCTGGACCCCTGGAGAGAGCCCGCACAACCATCCTGAGACCCTGGAGACATCGAGCGGCGAACCCAGAGCAACAGAGTATGTAGCTTCGTATTATTCTGCATTGCTGTAATATGTATTGCTGGGATTTGTAGTGCTCTATAGCTGATGCTGTTCTGCATTGCTGTATAATGGTATTGCTGGGAATAGTAGTTCTCTATAGCTGTTGGTAGTCATTATTGCTGGGATTTATAGTCCTCTATAGCTGATGGTATTCTACATTGTTGTGTAATGTATTGTTTGGAATTGTAGTTCTCTATAGCCAATGCCATTCTGCAATGCTGTACAATGTATTTCTGAGAATTATAGTCCTCTATAGATGGTGGTATTATTCTCATTGTTGTATAATGTGCTGAGATTTGTAGTCCCTCTACAGCTTGGAGTTAGTGACAGAACTACCAGGGTCACAGCAGTCGTACACGCGCACAGCACTGACGAGGCATCCCTCCACTACCAGTGTGCTTTAATTTTCCTCAACTGATAAACTTCTCTACCGCGTCTCTTCCAGGTGTGCATGTCATGAAGAAAGGGGGTCAGGAAAACAGCTGATTCGGATGACTCAGCCCCACTGGAAGTGACACAGTCGAGAAAATGTATAGGGTCGAGAAACAATATAGAACACTGACATTGACACTGTCCGGCCCCTCCCACTATCCTCCCACAGCTCACAGCCCAGAAGCATGGACAGCCAGCGGCGGTCTACAGTGTGCGAAAGTGCCTAAGTAGTGGACATGGAGCGGAGTAAAACCAGAACCATGTAGGGAGCCCAGAGGGAGGAGAGTGCCATCCCCAGCCAGTCATCCCTTTCATGGACTTAATAGGGAGTCCTCACATCACCGGACCATTCACACTACCTTTACATGGATTGCAAAAGTGGCAGGCAGGGGTGGGGAGAAGGCGGGGAAGAGGCAGAGCAGGAGGGGGTCAGCAGTACTTTATACAGAGATGCTATTGTTGTATCAAGTATTGCTGGGATGTGTAGTCTTCTATAGCCTGTGCCATTCTGCATTGCTGTAAATATTAGGGATGCACAGATATATCGGCCGCCAAAACATATCAGCCGAAAATGGCACTTTTGGCTAAATGATGAAAGTGCCATTTCCCTGCCTATACAGCTGTGCATCCCTGCTTTCTTTCCTCCCCGCTGGGTGCTGCTCTGTCCCAGCATAGTGGAGAGAAAGTGTGACAGCCGGCCGAGCGCTGTGATTTTTTTGTGGTTGCTTCAGGGGGTGTGGATTGGGGGGTTTGTGTTTTTTTTTT